CAGAAGCCCCAGAAAGGACACCAACAAGCATAAAAGCAGAACAATGACACTCACTAAGAGGAAATTTGGCAGCTGAGACAACAATAAGAGCATCTGTGAGATGTACAGAGACTTATGCTAAGAGGGAATATACATGAAGCCAGCATGGAAGGATGTCTATATTTGTTCATGTTTATACTGTAAGATTTAAATGTCTTTTAAATGTGTTTGAAGGCTTTTCTGACAGCAAGACCCTGGGAGCTGGAAGACTGGATATAAATATATCCATGCAGAACTTACATCTCCTGCATTACAGACTGTCTTCCTCCTCTGGGGAGCTTTGTAGGGAGGCCTGTGTAAATACAGGCATGCATCCAAGAGGGAACATTTTAGGATTGAGATCAGTTCTACAAAAACATGGAAGGTCAAACTGTGAACACTAAACAGCTTCCTACAGAACCTGTAGCCAACAATACAATAACCCAAATCTGCCTGAACACCAATAAGGTTGCTTTGGCAAATTCTGTGCTAGTAGCAGTATTTTCTGAAATAGCACTAACTTTATCAAGTCAGTGATCTTACTTTTTAGCACCACACTGAACTGGCATCTCAGACAAGATGTTACTAAAACAAGTATTGCTAGAAGCCTACAATGTTTAGCCTGGCATGATTTTTATCCATTTGTTTACTGTGATTTCAAAAACTTTGCTAAAAATGTCTCCTGCAGTCAACAGTGACTGCATGAAGACAGTTGAGCATTTTTCAGCATTTATATTTAAGCACATGTAAGGCTTTTTAACTGAAATAGTACTCTTAAGGAAAATATGGGATAAAGTCCACAAATGGAAAGATTTTAAAATGCCTTTCCCAGACAATATTTATATTTTTTTACACTTTATGTAGATAAAATACTTTCCCCCCCACACTTTCCCAGAACCAAAGACTTACAAAAGGAAATCCATTACAGATTGATTACAAAACACTTCTCTAAGAGGTATGGCTCAAAACTGAGTTTGTCTTCATCCTGCACAGCAATATGTGATTACCAGGAAGAGATAAATGGTGCCTGAAGATCCCAGAGGTTCTGAAATCCTGTTGTTCTTGTTGTCATCTGAACAGAAAAACTCAAAAACATTTGTGGCAAATCCATTTTGTAACTTGGTGAGCTAACATGATAACTTTTATAATAGCTGAATAGTTTTGCATCCCAAAATAAATTCAATTCAAAGAAGGTGACCTCAGAGTTACACCCACTGTGTAGTTTTCCTCTATCCACATTTTGCACTATCAGGCAATCTCAAATCAACCCAGTCCACTTAAAGAGATATGGGAAAAGAAATTGCTTGAGTCCCTCAGCTACTTATCTATCTCAGGCAAAAGGAAAACTGGAAATTTCTTACACAGTTGATAATTTCTGCTTTTGATTTGGAAAGCACAGAGCCCACAGCGCTAAACCACAATTTATGGAAACTGCAGCTCAAATATTGGACAACTAGTTAGAATTATTACCAAGTAAAAACAAGCCATTCATCCTTGTCACTGATGTTGTAGAGATTCTAAACCTGTCACATTCTCCTCAGTGTTGACTTGCTCCACTTCACCCTGCTTTAAAACAGTGAAAGTCAACTAGCAACTCTTCCTCCAGTTTGCAGCCTGTATTTTTCCACTCCAGATTTAAAACTGTATGGTAATGGAAATTCTGCATTATTGTGCTGATCCATATGAAACAATGGAAGTATTTCAGCCTTAGGCCAATGTAAATCCCAGTGCAACTCCTGGTCCTCACACAGGAGCAGTGTGGGAGCACAGGAAGGTGGGAAGACTGGTAATGCCAAGCAAGGCTCTGCAGACAAGGTCCCTGCAGCAGCCTGTCCCAAGTAATGCACTCACAGAACGTGCTCCATCCACCCCTGCAGGTACCTGCATGGAGAACCCAAAGCCTTTTCCCGTGGGTCTGGGGCTCCACAGCTCCTCCTCCAAAATCCAGGGGACTTTACATACATAGAGAGTGGAATTTCCCTCACTGGTGATTTTTGGCTGCCACTAACAGCCAGTAAATTCTATATATGGCTGCAAATAACTTGACATTCTCTCTTTCAACTTTGCTTCAATTATTAAACAAAAACATGTTCTACAAGTTATTGTTTTTGTACTAAAAGTAGGTTAAAAACATCTGGAGGTGTTAACAGCAGAAAGATAAGAAAGTTACATTTTTAGTTCCCCTGTCAGTTGTTTCCTTTCACGCCACAGGTACTCCACAACCTTCTCGGCGCTTTCCACCAGCTCAGCACCATCTCCCCGTCAGAGCCGAGGCCTTTGCATTTCAATGCGCTGCCCGTACCCGAATGTCAGCTGTGACACACCGACTGCACGGGAGGAGCAGCTCGGCAGGATTGCCGGCAGGACTCCTCGGCAGGACTCCTCGGCAGGATTCCTCGGCAGCTGCAGCAGCGCAGCCATGGGGACAGCACGGGGCTGCCGGGGGACAGCGCGCCTCACCTCGGTGCCCACCTGGCAGTCCTTGGGGGCTCTGCTCCAACGGCCTCACAATCCAAAAATAAAAGAGAAAGGACTATTAACACTGCCTGAAACACAACCTCATCAGAGAGCCATCAGAACAAGGAGGAAAGCCACAGATCCCTTCAGAGAGAAGGGCAGAGAAAACACGGGCCATTAGCAGGGATGGGATGGTGCGATCCTAAACCGGGCTGAGAGGCAGCTGGAGGGAAAAGCAAAGACTAAACAGGAAAAGGAAAGGAGACACACAGGAGTGTAAATTCAGGAACAAGGTAGAGAAAACATGCTACAAGTTAACTTCGAGTAAGTTTTTTTGCCTACCTATTTTTCCTAGCACGATACAGAACAGTATCACGAACAGTATCACTAGCACGATACTGAAACTGTCAATATTATGACCCTTATCAATAGATTACAATACTTATCATAATATTTTACTATCCTGTTTAGGAAAAATAAATTAGTCAACATTTAGAAGTCATTTAACCAAATATCATCCTCCCCTTTATTTTTCTTTAAATGAGTGATTCCAAGCAATTCCTTTACTTGGAAAGTAAACAGGAAATAATACATATAATAGCAAACATGCCTGGAAATGGATTTTCTGAAGAGCTGAAAAGTCAGAAACACAAATTACCCAAGAAATGGGAATAGTATTTTGTCTCTTTGCTCTCTTTCACTAAAAGAGCCACAAGACCTGCAGATACATAGGAAATGCTGTTCCTTCAAACAAACTGTATGCTCTAAAGCAGAAGGAAATGCAAAAACTGCATCCATTATGAGCTGCAGCTGAGTGAGAGCGCCTACCTGCAGCCAGGCCAGGCAGCAAAGCCTGCTGGCTCCTGGTTCTGCAGCTGGCACCTCCTGCCCAGGCTCGGGAATCGCCTGAGCCCCACCTGCCCCTGCTCAGGTGAGGAAGGTGTAGTTAAGCCAAAGAGGTCTGTCCAAAAAGGTAGTTCAGGAAATCTGTGACTGAATCATCTACATGGGATATCCTAGCAGTACGGTAAAGCCATCAGGAAATGAATACCGAAGATTAATCATGGAAAGTTACTCATGGAAAAACTGGTGATTCCTTCTTGCATAGTTCTGTGTTTTAGAGAATAAAACAAAGTTTTCCTGAAAACACACTAAGCAGTAACTCTGCCAGGAAGATGCTACATCTGGATAAAACAACTTAGCCACTTTACAGACACAACCTTTTAAGCCAGTATGAGGCTAGATTAGGAACTCTAACAAGCCCAAACAACCAAATAAAATCTCCACAACTGTTTGCCACTCTTGCTATATGCCTTGATTCAAACTGTCTAGAGGAGGTTGTAAGTCAAGCAAAAGTCACACAGAAGGAAGTAGAACCAGTCTGTCACAAAGGCAGTTGTTCAGCTGGCAATTTTAAGCAAGTTAAAGTAAACTTTCTAACTATAGAACCTAATTATTGGAATTCCATAAAGTCTTGGTTCCTAAAACAACTGCGTGTTCTTTCCTTCATGCCCATATATCTCCATATGTTATTTTTTCTGTAAATACCTGGGAATAAAATGTTTTAGCAGACATTAGACAGCCTTTAAGCCACAGCGAGTAAGGGGAAAAACTTTGGAGGCACTTACAAAGCGGTTAAAGAAGAATGAGCTCTACAAAAGTAAATGGCAAAGACCTAAAGTAAACAGAAATTAGGCTATCTGAGGAGGAGCCCCTATTAAATCCGAGGTCAGAGATCCACCAGACGACATTCCCCTTTGCCCCTGTGCTTACCTCGGAGCAGCCTGGCCATTCTGCACCAGGTACCAGCTGCTCCACAAGTAGCAGACAACTGCAAAGTATTCACATCGTTTCACTCGCTGTCCCACGCGAATCCCAGCCTTCCAAGCCCAGCCTCAACTTCACCCTCAATAAAAACGGCCAAACAGACCGATCCACCTACAAATCCAAAACAACCTTCGAGAGAAAGGACCGAGATGATGGAATGCAGCTACACACGTACGCGCTAACACGTAAAGCCTTTCGAGTCAGTAATTCGTAATAATAACAGAGCAGGGTCAGAGCCCCGGCAGGAGCAGCATGCACCCGGCACCCTCAGCAGCTCCGTACCGGGCAATTCCTCGAAGGTGTCAGCGCGGCGGAGGCGCTCCCCAGCGGGGCGCGGGATGGCGCCGCACTCTCCCAGCCGCGCTGCGGGCTCGGCCAGCGCCCGGGGCTGTCGCCGAGCACCCGGGGCCCCGCGCCGCGCCCGGGGGCGAGGGCGCCGCTCGGCCCCGCGGGGGCCCCGGCGCGGCTGCCGGCGCCAGACGGGCTCTGCGGGCGCCGCTGCGACCGGGACCGCGGCGGGGCGAGGGGAGCCGGGGGAGGGAGTGACGGGCAGGCGGCGGCTGCGCCCCGCCGGAGCCCGGCTCGCTGCCCCCGCCGCGGCCCCGCTGAGGAAAGCTGACCGCCGCCGCCCGGCCTCCCCTCAGGGCATGAGGGGCCGTCACCCCCCTCCCGTCCCTCACCCCCCTCCCGTCCCTCACCTGGCAGGGGCTTCCCGGCCCCGCGGCGCCTCCCGCGGGGAGGCGGCGGCTGCGCCCTGGAGGCTCCGTGCGGGCTCAGGTTCGGGCTGGGGCTGGGGCTCCGTTCCCGCCGGGCCCCGGCGAGGACACAGCTCCCGGGACGGGGCTGCGACCGCCGCGCCCGCCCGCAACAACCAACTCCGGGCGCCGCCCCCCGCGCGCGCACCGCGGCGGGAAGCCCCGCCCCTCGTTCGCTCATTGGCTGCCGGCGGCGAGCGGGCGTGGCGCCACCGCGGGGCTGTGCGTGGCCTTGGGACGGCCAGGAGAGCCGCCGCGAGAATACTACAACTCCCGGCGTGCACCGCGCGCGGCCTTTAAATGCGTCCCGTCAGTTCGCGCGCGCGCGTGTGCAGAAAGCATGTGCTTCCGCCTGCGATGGTGAAGTAGTCCCGCTGCGTGGTTTGAGTTCCAGCCCCGCGCTGGGCCGCTGAGGGGAGCGGACCCGCGGGCGCTGAGCCGGGAGTGCTCCTGACTTGGCTGGGCCTTTTCCCGAGGGGCTCCTCAGGGGGAGGCGAGAGGGCCGCGCTGAGGCGGGAGCGGAGAGATCCCAGCAGGCGGGGCTGTAAGGTGGCCGTGCGCGTGCGGGAGGCGCGGCGGCTGCGCGGGCTGAGGGGACCCGGCTGAGGGGACGCGGCCACCCCCGGCGACCCCGGCCCTGGCCGAGAGCCGCCGGCAGGTCAGTAGGGACGGGCCCGCCGCCCCTCCTCGGCCGCGGAGGGCACGGAGCCGGCGGGCGGCCGCGGGTGCCATGGCCCGCCGTGAGGGGGGCTGGGGGAGCCGCCGGGGGGTGAAGGGGAAGAACCGGATGAGGGTCTAAGTGCTTGGCTTTCGGTGTTCTCCGTTATCTTTCCACGGTTCCCCCAAAGCGATATTTCATGGCTCCTTAGCTCTATTTATTTGTCCTTTCTGTAGGTCCATTTAACGTTGCCTTGTCAAGCAGGTGATTTATTATGGCGGGGGTTTCCCATACTTCTGTCCAGCTTTCCACATTCAGTTTCCCGTTCCTGGGGAACCAAGTCTCTTATTTTGAGGTGGCAGAAAGAAGCCCCGACCCTGGGGTTGGGGACACCGAGGCCTCGTGCCTTGCGAGGCGCCATTCATTCCAATCCTCTGGAAAACCAGCGCTAGGGCAAGGAGCAAGGGCAGGGGAAATAGAAATAAAAGAGCTCCTGCTCTCTAGAGTAGTGGCCTCCAGCTATTCTGGCTGTCAATAAAGAACACTTTGTATCATGCGTCTCTCATGTATGTAAATTTATTGGTTTATCAGTTATCTACACGCTGTACTGTGCAGATAGATACGTTATGAAACATACTCAGACATAGAAATTGAAAGGATAAAGACAAAAGTGAAATAGACAGTATTTTACGACATTAATTCATAAAGCTGCAAGTAATGTAGCTTTATTTGCCTTGTATGTGACCCCCTTGACCACTTTTAGAGCACATGCATGTTGTTCTGAAGTGACCATTCTTAACTTCTGAGGAGCGTAAATGTAAACTGCTAATGAAAACAAATAATTTATTTTTCATAAATTTTTTAATCCTGGCCACATGTGTAGGGGCACAACCTATTTGAAGATAGTGAAATGATAGTGAAATGCTGTTTTACCTTCTCTTGGCTTTTCGCACCTGAATCATATGCCTGTTAGAAGGGATGAGATATTCAGTATTTCTAGAACTATATCACTTGGTGGCAGATAGTGTAACTTCAGAGTTCAGGAAATTGAGGGAACCTGGTAATTTTTTTCCCCTGTCCTTAGAAATCTGGCATGTCTTGACATAGAAGTTGGGAAGTTTGGGACAGGTCTGGTGATAATGGTGCCAAAAGTATTTGAGTTAGTCTTGAAATCCTAAGTTAACTCTTATATAGGATCCCAGAAATGTTAGAAAAATGAGAGATTGTGTGATCTGACCACACTGTCTTGGTTATAAATGGATTTTTGTTCCTTTGGTTGCCCCTGGTGGGGCACACAGAGGGTGTGTGGTGATGACCTTTCATGGCTCAGAAAAGGGAGGAGAGAATCGTGTTCCTCTGGTCCTGAGGCTTGGGTCCAGCTGCTGTACCTGACTGTTAGAAGGTGCCTGTAAGAATTTCTGGTGCTGTGCTGTAAAGCAACCACAAGGAGAGAGATCCTCACTGTTTACACCGTGAGCTCTGGCAGGGGATTTCCCTGGCCCAGCTCAGGCTTGCAGGGTATGGCCATTCCTGCCCCAGAGCTGACGGGCTGAGCTCACTGTGCTGCTGATGCCAGCCCTGACTGTGAGCTCTGCTTTTGCCTGTGTGGCATCACAGTGTTACTGTCAGGGCACAGGAATGGGGAAAATTGTGCACGGAGGTGTTGGGGCTGGCTTTGTAACCTTTGGTGGTGTCTGTTTCCAGTGAAGTTCAACGAAGGGTCACTCAGTATCCCGGTGTGTCTCCTCACCTGCCACAGCAGCTCAGCCTTCCATGCTAATTGCTGCTCCTTGACTAAATTGGAAGTGTTTTAGGACCAGTTATTCAGTGGGATTTCTCTCAAGCTTACTTGCTCATCCAAGTTTCTGAATTCTTGCTGTACTTCTTGCCCTCTCCAGGCTATGGGTGAAAAATTTAAGTATTCCTGCTCACCATTGCTGCAGTGCACACAGACCTGTGCTTGGATTTTTTGAGTGTTGTGGCATGTGCTGTGAGGAATTGTTAGAGAATAAAATAATGGAGACACTCTGGATAGTGATCTGTGGGAGAGAGGGGTGACTCAAGGGAATATGCCTTTACAATTTTGAGGGCAGTAGGTGAATACAGAAAAGCTGTCTTTTTTTTTCCCCCAGTTGTTCATGTACCTTGTAATAAAATTCTGTTTCAATCTATAATGTGAGTGGCTTGGGAGTCCCAAAATGAAGTTGCTTTCTGCATTCCTTCTAGCTTTTTTGTTTTTTTTACTTCAGTGATTTCCCTTAGAAAGAGAGGGAAAATGTTTCTTATGTTCATGGAAGCTGTTAAGCTTCTGCTATTTTTAAGACAAGAAGAGCGATCAATAAACACACATTAGGTGTTCACAAGGTATGAATTACTGATGTAGTTTGTTTTCAGAAGCCACTGGTTTTTCCAGAGGATTGGTTTATGGAAGCAGGTAAGGCTGGTTGATGGTTATTTGCAATACATGGTCAAGTTAAAGCTTTGTTGATGTAGGTCAGGCTCCATGGCAGGGTGGGCAGTGTTGGCCAAATTGTGGGGTTGTGGCTCCTTCCTGTCAGTGCCCTCAGCAGCACTGCTGGCTCTGATGGCAGCTGCTGGTTTCTGCAGCAGTTGGACCTGTGGTCCTTGTGGGTCCCTTCCAAATCAGGTGTTCTGTGCTCTGTGGTGCAGACCTGTGGTCTGATGCTGGATCTGGAATTGTGAGGGCAAAGCAGCCAGATGTGGGTTTGTGCATGCACTGCCAGTGGGACAGGTCTGGTGATCAGCATTTCGTTACCAGACTAGTCTGTTTTAATCTCTTGCATAATGGGATTGTTGGGATGTATATGGTAAAGCTATTTGTATGCACATTAATCCCACAGGTGACTAATTCTTGTTAAAGGAATAACTTGCATTGTTCATAGCTGCTAGGGGCAAAGCTGAGACTGACATTTGATTTCTGAAGGTCTGCTTGGTACCACTTTGACAAGGACAGCTTTTGATGAATTGCAGCTGCACCTACTTCTGAGTGTGTTTATTTGTGAGAAACTTCATTCTGTGTTACAGGGAAACAAAACCATTTAACTGTGGAATACCTTCCAAGTTTCTTCCAAGCTCTAAATTTGTTAGGAAATCTTTTTTGTTCCTAGACCTTACTTTTGCAAGTTCTCGTGTACTTGGAAAAAAACCCATTGGCTGGAGTATTTTAACAGCAAATATGCTAAAAAGAGCCTGTGCTGTGTTGCCTTCATTAATGATTTTAATCCTAGAAAGAAATAATCCTGCACTGTTTTGCAGGAGACTGAGGCAAGAGCTGACTTTGGCTGATTGATTTCAGTCTTTTGGACCATGCATCTCTCCTGGCATACAGTGAATTGCAAAATAAACCTCATATTTCACTATTTCTGAAATTCCTGTGACTTGGATTGTTTGTACTGTTTCTTCATGTAAAAGGAATGGAAATCTAAGACATTGGAATGTGCTTTTTGTGCATCATGGCTGGGATAAGTAATGAGGTGAGCAGTGGCACCCTTAGCCTGCAGTTCAGGATACTGGGGTAGCATGAAAATGGCAAAGGATGGTTTGGTCACAACATTGAGTGGCAGAAGGTTTTGTTGCTGACAACAAAAATGTGTGAAGTGCATTAGAGAGTGAGGGTAGTCAAAGTGTTGGTTATTAGTTGACTTCAAGAGGCTTAAGACTGACAGGATTTATTTCTGGATCCTTTTTTCCATTTTTTTTCTTCCCCTAACAAGTGCAAAACACAGAGGATTTCTCAGCAATTTAGTGAATTAACAGGGGAAAAGTCTACTTTTGTTTTATTATTGTGCTCAAGTATGAAAAGATGATAAATTCATAGCTTTAATTATATGGTGGTGTCTGAGGGATTGTTTGCAGCCAAAAGAAATTCAGCAGTTTTCAACTGCCCTTCAAAATGTCATCTGTAGAATTGCCAGGCTTTGTTTGGAGGGGTTCTCAGTCTTAACCAAATGGTGGTTAAAGCAGGTCTGGGTCTGTTCTGTAGTTCCTTTTATTTCAGATAAGTAGTATGGCATGAATTAGTGGGTTTTTTGTGAATTTTTGTGTTTGTTACTTAAGAAATAAACTATTTGTTCCTCTTGGAATTCCCTTGGCTGCTGTTTTAAAGCCTTGGACATAAGGTGGTTTGTTTCTTCTTAACTTTGGAGTATTGTTTGCTGAAATCCAGTAATTGGCAAAACATTTAGTAATGGAAATGAAAGAGATTTGGGGAGAATGGATAGGGTAAGTAATCTCAGGCTGGTGTCCAGGCCATAATGATATGTTCAGAAAGGCTGAGTTTCTGATGTAACAGAATTAGTGTCCCATAGCAGAATGGAGGATGTGCTGTGCCTAACAATATATGGGAAGTGTCA